AATAAAACGCACGCAACAAAAACGCCAGAAAATTAAATGGACTCTTGGAAAACGACTCCATAACGAAGTTACTGATGATTGATGTCAGCAAGGAAATTCATTCGAATGAATAATTTGTGAAACATTTCTTTCTCGGAAATTTGGCGAGCACTGAAGTCGACTTGTTAAAGAACAACGGAGTGTATATAGAGGTCTGACGATCAAGCCCCCTTAACCGGTAAGCGCTTTCTGAAAACGGCGTGAAAGCGGGTGGTTGTGCTGTGCTTCTATTGGACAGCAGCAGCAGCAGCAGCGTCGGGCTGTCGGGTATCGACACGGTGGCGAAGGCCGCGGCCGGGGCACGTCTGCGCGACCCTATAGCGGCGGCGCGGGCGACACTGCCAAGCGCGGCGCACAGCGGCGAACAGCGGCGCACGACTCTATTATTTTCTCCGCCTGCGACAAAAGGCGACCTCGGGGGATGGCCGGCCCCGCCAGGCCCGGCTCGGCCCCGGCTATTCACCGACCCGGCCTCCCCCGGGGGCGGTCCCTCGCGCTGCTGCCCTCCAGGCGGTGGCGGCGGCAGCGGCAGCGGCGGCGGCCGCCGCCTCTAGGGGGTAGAGCGGGGGCTGGGGTTGGGGGCGGCGCCAGGGCCAGGCCTTTCTTTATCCCGACTGGGCCGAGCGCTCAGCTGCGCTCCCGCCAGACATTGTGGCTCTAATGAGAAATATTCGCCGGTATCCCCCGGTTGCCAGTGGGGTCAGTGGGGTCGCCTGCCTGGCCCCCGCCGCCCGGGGTCGCCTTGCCTGTGCGGCTGCTGCTTTCGGCCGACTGGGGTCACCCCCGCCCCCTCCCCATCACCTCCTCCCCTCTCCAGTAGGAGGGCTGCTTAGGGGGTTTCGCGGGCGCAGCAGCAGCGGCAGCCCGTCAGCGTTCCCCGAACCGAAACCTTTTTCCAAGGTCAGGGCGCCGCGCGCGCGTCCGACCAAGGAGGCCCTCGGGCCAAAGAGAACAGAGAGTAGCTGCTGTCGCCGGAGAAGAGGATATTGCCGGCGGAGAGCTCTGCGCCGCCCTGCGCCGT